GCAGTGTTTGGGGCTCAGAAGGCACAGCTGTGTCCAGGGAGAAACTCTTTGGGTGCATAAAGGGGGCATTGAATAAGCTTTTTGGGTGCACAAAATGTGGGCAGTTGCTTGTCAGGGAGTGATGGGGGGGGTCACATCAACAGAGGGGGGCAGTCAGGCTGGGCTGCTTGCTCTCAGTCAGAGCTTTTCCATGTTTTTCTTTGCTCCTCTGTCCCTCTGGGGTGTGGAGAGGGAAGTACCCACCAGCACTTCCCCAGAGGTACCTGCCACAACAACCATTAAGGCAAAGTCCACTCACTTCAACTATTCCCCTAAAACATGAGTAGGAAAGGAGAATAGCAGAAAAAGAGATGAGGGTTTTTTTGGCTTTTTCAGTGCTAAAAAGTTTTATCTCCCTTTTTTTAAAATTGTTTTACTGAAGGGCAATTACAAATCCTATTAGGATGTGCTCTGCTTTTTTCCAGTGTATATCTCCAGGACTGGTGGAAACGGGATTTGCTTTTAAACTCCATGATAATGACCCCGAGAGAGCTGCTGCAACCTATGAGAGCATTCGGGTAGGACTTGGAGAACTGGACACAGAGGGAAGTGGCTCTGATTATAGTTGAACAGTCTCTCTCCTGGCTAATGCTTCCACAGAGTGCCCAGTTCTTTCCAGGATGCCCTCAGCACTCCCAAAGTCTCAGCCCTCAAACCTCAGATTTTGCACTGGTATTTACACACCGTGTAGGTTTTCATTTGCGTTCAGTTTCCAACTCCCTATATTCTTCCTTTTGATGTTTCTGTAAACAAGTATCAGTCAGCTTTGACATTTTGCAGGCTATGATTTCTTTGTTGCAGAGAAGATGTAACAAGTAAACGTTCCTGCTCGGGGAGAAATATGAGAGCGTGTTGTCTTGCAGGTGGCACAGGATTTCTTGTGCTTCTCTGGGAATTTTTGATAAGGATGGCAGTACCTGACCTGGCAGAATTACCGTGCCAGCAGTAAAAATACTCACAACAACTGAAGAATTATCAGCACCAGACATGTCCTTTGTTAAATCTTGAATGGATTATTTTTTTTCCTGCTTGCTTGCATCTTTCTGACATGCCCCAGTGACACTGTCGAGACTCATTATTGATGGTTAGGAGAGGGGTGATCTTGTGGTTAACTTCCTGCAGTGCCCTTTGACTGAGAATCCCTTTGCTGTCTTTGCAGTGTCTCAAAGCTGAAGATATGGCCAATGCTGTCATCTATGTCCTCAGTGCCCCTCCTCATGTACAGGTAGGCTGGGGCTGGGCTGGGGCAGGGGCTGAGGGTGGAGGGGGGCGAGGGCTGCCCTGACATTTGCTGATCAGCCACTGTATCAACTCTGAGCTTAGTGAGCCTGGGCTGGGGATTAGTGGGGATCACGTTTGTTTACACTTCCCTTATGGCAGCTCTGGAATTGCACTGCCTGGACTGGTCACATCCCTGCGGATCCAGCAAAGGCTGAGCTGACTCTGTCGTTTCCCCCAGAGGGTGGTTGGGCACTGCCCAGGCTCCCCAGGGCAGTGGTCACAGCCCCAAGGCTGCCAGAGCTCCAGGAGTGTTTGGACAGTGCTCCCGGAGACAGGGTGGGATTTTTGGGGTGTCTGTGCAGGGCCAGGAGCTGGGCTGGGTGATCCCTGTGGGTCCCTTCCAGCTCAGGGCATTCTGTGATTCTGTGACTGCAGAGGAGGACTGTGCAAGACAGAAGGAATGTGAGGGATATGGGCACGTTCTGCCCTTTTGGATGGTGCCATCTGAGGTTTGCTGAGGGTCTCGAGTTGTGCCAGTCGCCAAATGACGCGTTGGGCCCGATCCTGCCGAGTGCTGAGCACCTCCCCGAGGGTGTGTGAGATGCTTGTGCTGCCTCAGGGACTCCCTCCTGTGGAACAAGAAATAGGTGGACAGCTCTGAGCTGGAGGCAGGGGGAGGCAGGAGCCGTGTCAGTGCTTACCCTGTGCAACACGAAAGCTCCTGTTGTGAAAGCAGACTTTGATCACGAGAGGCTGAACAGCCCCTCGTGTGGACTCTGCTCCTTGGGGCAAGACGTGGCCGTCTTGACACTGGATCTGTGGGGATGACTGGCCTTGTTGTCCTAAAGAGATAAAAAGTCCTGCCTGTGGCTGAAAGATAAAAGGTCCTGCCTGTGGCTGCTGGAGCAGTGCTGCTGCTTGGCCCTCTGGGATCAGGACCCAGCCGAGGATGTGAACCGTGACACTTGGCAGCCGGTGTCCCCTCGCGCCTCCCCTGGGCACGTCTGAGCTTTTATCCCTCCTGCTGAAGGCACAGCAGGCACATTTCACCTTTGCTTCTTTCTCTGCAGTGCAGCACTTCCAGTGGGCTCCAGTAAAACCCTGCCTTGTCTCTTCCAGATCGGGGATATACAGATGAGGCCCACGGAGCAGATCTCGTAGCAGGAGCAGAGGCCCTCGGGCAGCACAGTGCATCCACTCCACTTCGGACCCTCTGGCAATCCAGGGTGTCAAAGGCTGGCTGGCAACGTTTTAATCAAGTACCAAGGATCATGTCTGAAGAATTGTTTTTCTCTCCCTCTCTCTGAGCTGGTGCTGGTGCTGAGCCAGTTTGAAAAAAAAAACACAACAAGCAACAACAAGTAGTGGGTCTCTTTTCTCCCCCACTCCTTTGTGAAACTGCTTAAGAGTAAAATGTATTTGATGATAATGCAGGGAAGTGGTTTGTGGAAGATTGTTGTCTCCAGGCTGGTTTATTCTTCCTTTTGCTTTCTTTTCAAGGTTTGTTTGATCTTAGTTGCTGATGCTGTGTCTGGACCTATGTGAAGTGGCACAAGATGTTTGCCAGCTTCAGTGTGCTTAGGGTTTGAGATTTTCAGTGGATGTCATACATGAATCCATCTAATATTTGGGTTTATTTTCATCAGGTTGATTACTGATGGTGATGATGCATGTGGTGTTTTCTATTTCTTTTGTATTCCACTGCCCTAAACCCAGCATACAACCTCCCCCACCTCCCCTAGCCCTCCTTTCCCGTTCACATGGATCATGCCTGCCAAGTTTGGGGAAGTATAAATGTGTGTGCTTGATATTTCTCTTTTTTTCTAGGTAGGTAAATAGTTGGAGGAAAAGTACCTGTACTTGTGCAGGTTAGGACGATAATCTCAGTGGCATAGTTACAGTAAGAGTGAGTTGTTTGGTATTTTTAATAAAAACTAAACGTGTGCTGTCTTGTGATCATCACCTCTACCCGTGGTATCATCTCCCAGCACTCTCGATGTTTTGTATGTGATATTTGCATGCATTGACACTTTTCTGGAAACGTGGATCAGTCTTAGAAAGACGTCTGGTGCTGTTGAAATGCTGGTGCTGAGGAGCTGGAAGTTTGTCGGGAGTTTGTTTATGAGGAGAGATACAAACTCGGAGAGAGAGAGAGTGAAATGAACCATGCTGAAGGTGTCTGAGACGGAAAGAGACTTGTAGGGGTGTTTGCCTACAAAGCAGCAGGTGAAAGGGCTGGGTCAGACCTCGTGTTAGTGCTACACTGGTGCAGCCCCAGTGTTTTGCTCTGGGTTTATTCTACTTGAGAGAGGAGAGAATGGGCCTCAAAGCAGGCACGTGCAGAGCTGGAGGGCACTGGAGTTGTCTCGAGACTCTTTGCAGTGTGGTCTGTGTGTGTCCAACTTCCTCTGGAGCTGTTGGACACGTTGCCTTAAGATTTCAGATCCGCTCCTGCTGGACTCTGTGCAGTGTTTCTGAGGGCAAATGTTGGCTCAGGTGGAGCTGGGATGGTCAGTTGGTCGGAGCAGAGGATTGGAGAGCCTGAGAAATTTGGGTTTGGATGGTTTGGCTCACACCAGGAGAGCTCTGGGAGTCCATCTGGGTCACCCCACCGTCAGGGAGGCCAGAATTGGGCCACTACAACATGAGTTCAACTCCCTGCACAGCCTCGGGCAAGTCACTTTTACCTCTCTGCCTCAGTTTCCCCATCTGTAAAATGGGGATAATAATACTTACCTACCTCACAGGGGTGTTGTGAGGACTCACAAGCTTTTGTAAAGCACTTTGACCACGAGAAGCGCTGTGTAAGTGCTGAGTGTTGTATGAAGTATTATTATTAATGAAACCTTGTGATACCTAGAATTTCCTTGTGCCAAAGGTGAGCAGCTGTAGAAGGATACAAGGAGAAAACTGGCAAAATGTTCCTTCTTAATGGCAAAACAAAGGCAATTTGCCCCACCCCTTTTTTTTTTTTCCTGTTTATCAACCCATGCCCATGGTGTGTTCTGTCCATTCCTCATCTGTCACCCCTTTCTACTGACAAGTGCACAGAGCCTCCTCTCTGGATTTGGCTTTTTAATTTACTGTGAGTGAAATTCTTGCACAGCTTTAGTGCACTGCCCTCCTCCAGCTTGTTGGGGCCGTGGCTTTGTGTGGGTTCTCTGCACAGAGCAAATCCAGCAGGTGCTCTGTGCAGTGCGTGCCATCTTTTTTAAGAGAAAGGAGTTAAACTAGGAGTTGGAGGCCAAAAAAAAAAAAAAAGAAAAAAAAATTTGAGAAATGGGGAACTTCTGAGAAGGGAAAAAAAAACTAAGCAGGGATGTGGCGAAACATTGAATTGGTGGCAGCAACTGCGTGCAAAGTTCAGCAGATGTTGAAATGCGTGGCTGAGGAGGGACCTAACTTATCTCCCTGGAAAAGGAGGATTTGGAGAGAATTGCTCAAGAAGGGGCAGTTTGGGTAATTGCTCCCTGCAAACACAACCTGGCTGCCCTGCAGCCCTGGAAGTTGTTTGGTTTGGTGTTTTGTTTTTTTTTTTTCCGCCCCTCCTCAAGAACATTTGTAACATTTGCAAGTCTTGAAATCGTGCCCAGTATGTTTTTCCACTTCAAGTGTGTTTCCAGGGGATGATTCCTGCTGCCCACTCACCCCCCCATGAAGCGCAGCCCGCGGAGGGCTCGGTGCGGGTTGTTTGGCCTCCTGGAACCTGGTGGCACCCCCAGCCACCTCCCTGGGATGAGATGGGACACGACCCTGAGGCATTTGAAACCCCCGAACGGGAGGATCAACTGTGTAATTTATCAGTAGGTTTCTAACTGTGAGCTGTAAAATAAAGAATAAAAAGAGAGGCACACTGTGGCTCGTTGTGTGTTCTGTCATTTTTGTGTTAAAAGCGTAACAGCCTTTTTACTTTAACCGCGATTAAGCGGTTTTAAAGCTGTTTCGTGGTTAATTAGGCTCCTGTT